TTATAAGACTATAGTTTAATATTTATCATACCAGCATACATACATGAATAATAGAACAGAACAAGTAAATGGATTGCAAGTAATTAGGTTTCAAAGTACTGGAGAAGCGAGTTAAAATAATCAGGGAATAATCAGGGAGAGTAGTCTAGAGTAATTCAAGTGACACTGAATTGTATTAGAGACAGAAGAAACTCATGTTCAGCTTATTATAGACAAGTATGTTTCCAGGTATAAAAACTTTCATGTAGCCGGCGCTGGTGGCTCACGCCTTTAATCCTAGCTACTCAGGAGGCTGAGATCTGAGGATTGCGGTTCAAAGCCAGCCCGGGCAGGAGAGACCTTGAGACTCCTATCTCCAATAAAAAAAAACCACCAGAAAACCGGAAGTGGTGCTGTAGCTCAAGTGGTAGAGTGCTCACCTTGAGCTGAAGAGCTGAGGGACAGCGCCCAGGCCCAGAGTTCAAGTCCCACGACCGACAAAAAAAAAAAAACTTTCATGTAGATATAGCTACACATATTTGTAAATGACTTAGTACACACATATGTATCTCTAAGATCTGTCAGCTGAGAAGGCCTAGAAATATGGGTATACCTCAGTAGACATAAATACATGAAGAATGCAAAAGTTTCAAATGACATTTCAAAGTAAAAGAATCAGAGGCTGCTTTGGCAGGGAAAATAAAGAGTTTTCTTATAAGATGATTCCAAAGATTATCACAGTGTGAGAAAAGAATTATTGAAGGAAGCAGAGTAAGAAAAAGAAAGACAAAGGGGAAGAGTGAGAGAAAAAGAGGGGAAGGAAGAAAGGAAAGGAAGGAAAGAGGGAGGGAAGGAAGAAAGGAAAGAAAGGAGGGAAGGAAGGAAGAAAGGAAAGGAAGGAGGGAGGGAGGGAGAAAAAGGGAGGAAGGAAGGAAGGAAGGAAGGAAGGAAGGAAGGAAGGAAGGAAGGAAGGAAGGGCAACAAAGAGCAGAAAGATGAGATAAAGAAGTGAAAAGAAGGGTAAGCTTTACTTAATATGCCCTACAATAAAGTTCTCACATAGTAATCTTCCCTAATAACTCAGTAAGAAATATGAGATTAATAGTAGTGATCCAATAGAGTCTTCTAAGATGAAACATGTTGACTTTTTAAAATAGCTAGGATAATGGCTGGCATATGTCAAGAAACTATTGAATGATCAATAGTGTTATTGAATAATTATATTAATAAGCAGACCAATTAGGTTAAACCCAATGAAAAATAAACCATTTTTATGACAATTTCTCAAATTCCAGTGCATTTTTATCTTTTTAATTATTTATTTATTTGCTTATTTATGTAGATCACGGGGCTTGAAGTCAAGGCCTGGATGTTTTGTCTGAGATTTTTTTGCTCAAGGATAGCTTTCTACCATTTTGAGCCACAGCATTACTTCTGGTGTTCTAGTGGTTAATTGGAGAAAAAAGACTCATGGACTTCTTTTTAAAGGCTGGCTTTGAACTGCTGTCCTCAGATCTCTATCTCCTGAGTAGCTAGGAGCCACCAGCTCCAGGCTACAATGAATTCCTTTTAATAGCTCCATTAAAATGATGAGCATATGAGTAAACTCTGGCCAATTACTTAGCCCTTCCAATCATAAATCCTATGCATTTTAAATTATTAATTCACTTTAATGTTATTAGAGAGGTTATGTATAGAGGGATTACAATTACATAAGAGTTTTATCAAATGTCTTATAAACATAGTGTTAAGTAAAAGACCTTCAAAGAATTACATATTTTTCTTTTTATAATCTATTTTTATTGTAAAGATGATGTACAAAGGGGTTGCATTTATATAAGCCAGATAATGAGTATAGTTCTTTGGAACAGTGTCACCTCTTCCCCAATATTCTCCAGCTTTTCCTTCCTAACTCCCTTCCCCTGCATATTGTATAGTTCATTTTTTAAATAGTGGCTATTGAGTATCATTGCTTCTTTTATTTACCCTTTGTCCCACCATTTCTGCATTGAAAAATGCTTTGTAATAATTTCAAAATTGATTTATAATCTATCTTTCAAAGTCATATTTAAAGATTGACACTAATAATATAGAAGATAAAAATATTCTAAATATATTTGTAATGATGTATCCTTAGTATGATAGAGCTGTAGATGTACAGCAATTCAAATCCAGTGACTGGCATCAATAAATCTCCTACTGGAGCATGGATTCTGATTTTTCTCGAAACCTTATTTAATTGTTCCCTGGAGTGAAGATCCTTGGGGAGAGAGACACTAACAAAACCCACAGGCAGAAGCCACATGCAGCCATTATGAGGAGGGATAGAAGCACATTCTACCTGGGTAGGTTAAAAAAATTATCTAAAACTGATGGCTTAAAACTTATCAAAATCTGACTCATTGATGGGCGATAGCATCAACATACTGCTTCAAGTCATGACTTTTAGATTAAGTAGAGTTTAATACAGTGGTATTCTTTGGTATACATAAAGATAAGCAGTATTGGCTGTGAGTTTGTTTACATTTTGTATGAATGTATTCATTATGATGCCATATTTCTAAGGAGCACGAGTAGAATGAAAATTCCATTTTAGAATTGGGGAAGTCAATAATAACTCAAGACCAGGATGAGCTAGATGATAATCTTTGTCCTCATGACTTCTTCCTACTGCAATGACTAGATTTTAAGGAGTTCATTGGACAGAGGTTGTCAATCTATCCAGATATTTCCCAAAGAAAATAATATGAGAGTAAGGGGAAGAGATAATCAAATATCATTCCAAAAGTTCATCTTTAGTCCCCCATTACCTAATAGCTAGAAGATTTTCCATCAGAAAGTTAATGGAAAGAGTGTGACATTCATCAATGAAGTACAGACATCAGTCAGGAAAGAAGTATTGAGAACCAGTGATTATGGTGAAGGAAGCAATAAACACAAATGAGATACGTGTAAACTGCTCCCAGAAAACAATACAAAATATGTCAACTCAACATGGAAAGCAACAATCAGGAAAATCTTCATAAGACAGTTGCTATTTCAACACACAATGAAAGGTGTAGTATTGCTCTTTCATTTTTCTTATAGGGAAGAAAATTATAAATGGCATGAAAGAACTCAAAATGACCAGAAGAAAGAAAGAAGAGGCACATGAAAGACTTTATTGTGATTGACAGCTAGAGTCTGATCACATCAAGAGACAGGTTCTTATCTTGGGTCAGTTGCTGTGAGTGGTTGTTGGGGAAACTGAATGAAATGACAATCCAGTGAAAAGTCATTAATTTTTGAGAAAAAAAGTATGAATTACGTTAATACACAGTAAAAGTATCTGAATGCAAATATTTAAGCATTTTTGTGTCTTAGAATTAGAAAATACAAATGACAAACACGGATAAAAAACTTTAGATGAAAATTACAAGAACTTTTCCTTTCCTGGTCTAAGTTCCTTAGCTCTATCTTTAGACTCCAATGAAATTAATAGTTTTCACTGCATATCATTGAATCATGATTGTGCAACTTAAAACAGCTAGGAGCTGGGAAGGTGGCTCAGTGATAGAGTGCTTGCCTCGCATGCATGAGGCCCTGGCTTCAATTCCTCAGCAACACATAAGCAGAAAAAGCCACAAGTGGCACTGTAGCTCAAGCCTAGCCTTGAGCTGAAGAGCTGAGGGATAGAGCCCAAGCCCAGAGTTCAGGCCCAGAGCTCAGACCAAGAAAAAAACAAAACAAAACAGACAAAATCAAGGGAAATATGATATGGATGGGTTCAGAGGATTGCAGAAGAGTTTGAGGTGTTGTGAAGAATTTTTGTGAATGAGTCATTTATTTATTTGTGTTGATGAAAATAGTATGATGCACAGTAAACCAGAGTAGCTTTTGAAAATTTACCTTTATCTATTAGTTGTGTATGAATTTTCTTTTTAGGATCTTAACTTGTATTATGTGGATTGAGCACACCAAAGCATATGATAGAACACAAAACAACATAATGGATAGAAACTAAGGATCTCATTCTGAATATGATTATCTGTTCTATGCTATCCTGTTACATATGTTTATGTATGCATTTTGTAGTCCCAAATCTTTGAATTTGAAAACATCTGAAAGAAAGATCACAGTCTCAGCAACTTGATAAATAAAACCTTACTTTGAATATGCTTCAATTTTTTGCTCTCACTTCTCTCATGTCTCAGTGATAAAAATATTATTCAAGAGCAGTCAATATAATTTAAGTTTCCACGGACCAAGAAGTAGGTATATTATATTGAGAACATAATAATACAGTGTGGACCTGAGTAAGAAATGTGCATTTTAACACCAATCTTACCCAAACCAGTAATTTTATGTTAGTTCTGTTTCTTCTGTTTCATCCTATTCTTGGTCATTTGTTTAAAAGAATGAATGTTTCCTGAGAAGAAACAAGAGACATATGAACCTGGTTGAAACTCTCTTAAAGTTAGCTGTTTTTGTAAATTAACTGACTTGTTCATTTATCATTAAGATTATGATGAAAGTTCAACTGCCTGGATACATTACCAATGTGAAGTAGATAAAAGTAGATGAACACAAAACTGTGTCTCTGTCATCAATGGAACAAAGAGTAGTCATTTCTGCACAGGCAAGGTGGTAAATCTGTGAAGTCAAGGGTTGTGTTTTACTTTATGCTCTGGATAGCATCTGCTTCCTGAGACCATAACTTAAGATATTTTAATTAAACTATTGCTTAAATACCATAGTGAGAAACCCTCTGGATAGAAACGGAAACAATGGAACCCTGTTACCGAACCAATTCTTGTATAAATAATGATTTAAGGGAAAATAAATATCCCTTATATACATTTATCTGTTTCTGCTACCCATCCCATTTCCAGAAGCCAAGTTTATTAACAATTCCTACATGAAAGAAAAAAGTACCTTCACAAATAGGAACGTGTTAAAACACTCTCCATATATGTTGCATTGTAAATGCACCGCTTGGAATTCATTCTCCTATTTCTTCCATCCAGAGGTGAAGAAGGCACATGGCTCAGATCAATTGCACCCAAGTGAAGGAGTTCATCCTCATGGGCCTCACGGACCGCCCGGAGTGGAAGATGCCTCTCTTCCTGGTATTCTTGTCCATCTACCTCTTCACCGCTGTAGGCAATCTAGGTTTGATCCTGGTCATTAGAATAGATGCAAGACTCCACACCCCCATGTACTTCTTCCTTAGCAACCTGGCATTTGTTGACTTCTGTTACGCTTCTGTCATTACACCCAAGATGCTGGGGAATTTTCTGTACAAACAAAATGTGATATCCTTCAATGCCTGTGCAGCTCAGTTAGGCTGCTTTCTCACCTTTATGGTGTCAGAGTGCTTGCTGCTGGCCTCAATGGCCTACGATAGATATGCAGCCATTTGTAACCCTCTTCTCTATATGATCACCATGTCCCCAGGAATCTGCATTCAGCTCGTAGTGGTTCCTTACAGCTATAGCTTCCTGATGGCTCTGTTTCACACCATCCTTACCTTTCGCCTCTCCTACTGTCACTCCAACGTCATCAATCACTTCTATTGTGATGACATGCCCTTGCTCAGACTCACCTGCTCTGACACCAGCTACAAGCAGCTCTGGATTTTGACCTGTGCTGGTATCACATTCATCTCTTCTGTTCTGATTGTCTCTGTGTCCTACATGTTCATTGTTTCTGCCATATTGAGGATGCGCTCCGCTGAGGGAAGACGCAAAGCCTTCTCCACCTGTAGCTCCCACATGCTGGCTGTCACCATATTCTATGGGACCCTGATCTTTATGTACCTACAGCCAAGCTCTAGCCATTCTCTTGACACAGATAAGTTGGCTTCTGTCTTCTATACAGTAATCATCCCCATGTTGAACCCCCTGATTTATAGCCTCAGGAACAAGGATGTGAAAGATGCCCTGAAGAAAGTTACTATGAGTAGAGACCAGGCTTTTGTGTTTCTGAAAGTAAGATAATGATTTTCATTAACTAAGGTTGGTTTTCTGTTATGGCCTCTGATTCCCTCCATTCATAAAATTAACATAATGCTTGGTTCTTAGTTGGTGATAAATAAAGATCTGGTATAAAATAAAATCATTCTCTGTATGCTTTGTAAGCATATTGACTTAGCATTATATTTCCTAATGCAAAAGATAAGATCTGAATTTACACATGTATTTTACATACTTACTTCTTTTATTGTTCGTATTATCATTAGGTAGTATGCAGAGATTTTCATTCACCATGTCAGTCTGTGAGGACAATGCATTTTGATCAATGTCACCACTTGCATCATTCCCTCCTCTCTCCCATCTCTCTCAACACCATCTATCCCCATAAGTTTCCTAGTTCAATTTACATGGTTATTGATTACATAATTAATTGTTACAAATGTATTGCATCTAATGGCTGTACACTTTATACACCTGTAAACAATAGAGAAGACTAAAGGCATTTTGAATGGCCAATAGAAAAATAAATTCTTTAGGAATATTCTCAAAATTAAATAGAAATAGTATCCTCAAAATGAAATGTTATTTTCCAATAAAATTACAGATAACCACAAACCAAGAATGTCAACTAAAAATAACTTTTATCAAAACAGATATTAGACAATGTCTGAAGTTCTGACTGATTTTCGTAATGAGAACGTGGTTTGGGAAAATATTATTGCAGGTGAGGAAAGGTACTCTAAAAATAACCTACAATCCACAGAACTGCCTCTCACATTAAAGGTTTTCAACTCCAAGACATCAATTTAATAATAATAATAAAAAATAATCAACACTGAGAAAGTGTGCCTTAATCATTATGAAGATTTCATTCATGTCCAAGAGGCTGGTATTCCTGTATGTTGTCTATCAACTATCAAGACTAATATTGTAAGTACAGTTAAATTGTATTTATATCATTCTTCTGTCCTTTTTTTTTTTTTGTAAGTTGTAGGGCTTGAACTCCAGGACTGGGTGCTTTCCCTGAGCTCTTCAGCTCAGGGCTAGTACTCTACTACTTGACCACATCTCCACTTCTGGTTTTCAAAGTGGTTTATTGATGATAATCATGGCCTTTCCTGCCCTGGCTGGCATTGAACCGTGATCCTTAGATCTCAGCCTCCTGAGGATTACAAGTTTGAGCCATCATGCCCAGCTCTTCTGTCAGTTTCTATTTAGGGTATTTTGGGGTTTCCTTGTCAATCATGCATAAAACCAGTAATTTCTTACATTATTTCCTGTTACTATAGCTGTCTCTTTTTCTGGTAGCATGTATTGTCCCAAATTATTTTTTCCTTTGACATTAATATAGCAAATAATGCTCTCTACTAGCTATGAATTTCATAGAATAAGATACTATTCTTTATTTTCAGTAAATTCATACCAACCATTTTTTATTTTTGCCTTATACATTTTTGTTGATTAATCATCTCTGTCTTTGATTGGAATACATGGTTCATTAATATTTCCTATAATTATTAGCATGGTAGATTTTATGTCTATAATTTTGATAATTTTATTCTAAATGGCTCATGACCTTGTGTTTCCATGTCAAGTCTACCACCTTTTTGTTGAAGATTTTAATTTTTGGCCAGTCCTGGGGCTTGAACTCAGGGCCTGGGTGCTGTCCCTGAACCTTTTTGTGATCAAAGTTAGTGCTCTACCACTTGAACCACAGCTCTACTTTCAGCTTTTCCTGTGATTAATTGGAGATGAGTCACTCAGACTTGCCTACTCAGACTGGCTTTGAACCACGATCCTCAGATCGCATCCTCTGTAGCTAGAATTGCAGGTGTGAGCCACTGTGCCTGGCTGAAAAGTTTATTTAGATATTCCTTTTGTGTATTGCTAGATACGTGGCTACATTGATGCTCTTCTTAAAGGTTTGTTGTTTATGAACACTTTGATATTATTGTGGGTTTTTTAATTGCTACTATTTTCTTGTTTACTGACTTTTCTGGGCATTTCCTGTGGTGTGGTGCTACAGTTGTCTGATGAGTATTTCCCAAATGTCTGGTATTGTTTTTATTAAAATATAACCATTTGTGTTGAATAAACCCTTCAAATTGTTTCTGGACTTTATTGGCTCTCAAAGTTCTATAAGAGTTGAATATCTCTCACATTTTCATCTCCCTTGATAAAAATTATATAAACATCATTTTAATCACTCAGCTAATTGGTATCTTTTATGACTACATAGATCCATATGTTTTCACCATAAAAGATCAAAGCCTCTAATTGCTATCATACTGGTGGTTATGGATTTAAAATATGAATTTAGGAAAATATAATTCAGTCCATAACTGATTCTTTTATTCCCCTAATATACGTCAAACTCATGTTCTCTTTTTCTTATGGCCACAGACTGACAAGAGAATTTACCAAAGGTAACTAAAAATATAAAACAATAGTAGACAACAATAGTCTAGAAGAGGAAATGAATAATGAATAATTTCAAGGAGTAAACCAAGAGAGAGAATGATTACTTAAAAATACTTTGGAAGTGTCTTGAAGGCTTGAGTGTTCAGTCCTTTACATGCTATACTGGAAGAATTTTCACAGGTCAATTTTTGTCAATTACCCCCAAGATAAGTTTAAATTCTTGGTATTAACAAGAAAAAGTAAAGAATAATTATATTCAAGAAAATGAAATTATCATAACAGCACAGTTATGTCTAAAAGCAAGACTTTAGATCTGTGTTTTTATTAAAAAAAACAGAATCATGATAATTGATCTCTAGTCTTCCTTGCCATTCCTGTGAGACTGGGGCTCTAATTTCTGTGATGATCTTATTTACATCGTAATCCTAAGCAAATCCTTGGGGTATAAAGTCACTGATAAAACTCCACAGTTGGTTGCTGCCCAAACTTAGAGAAGAAATAGGAACACTCTCAACCAAGTAAGTTCAAAGAACAGTCGTCAAAATTGGGACCACGATAAGTATTTTTAAACTGAGGTAAAGTAGAATATGGCAGATTTCACAGTCAAACTTTTCAGGTGCCATTGTCTGAAGTAAGATGAAATAGTATTGCCTCTGGGTTTCCTTTAGTTATATCTGTATGTGTCATCATATAAAAATTGGAGAAAGGTTTGAGAACTCCAAGATAAAAATCCATCAGGCTGTCTGAGAAACGTAGGCATGCAATTCAAAACTATTTTTTCTAATATTTTATTTTAAAAAATCAATCATTTTTCTTGGGAGGAGGAGGTGTCCATATCCAACTTACTATATTTGATATAGAAGATGGACATTAGTTACTAACAAGAGGCAGAGGTATTGAATTGCGACTGTGAAAGTTAGTCTTTTGGCTGGATGTGGTAGCACAGGTCTGTAGTCCTCACATCTTGGGAGGCAGCAAGGAGGAACTGTGGTTTGAGACCATCCCAGGCAAAAGTCATAACATCTGTGCTCCTGCACAGTAAAGAACCTATAACTTCTCCAGGTGTGTTTTTCCTTTTATTCCTTGTGCAAAGAAAAACATATCGGTTAGGCTCCTTTCCCTTTTTATTTTTTTTCCTTGCAGAGTTTATGCTTGAGAAGCTAACATTTTATTTCAGCCATCTCTATCTTCAATTTCAAAGATGTGTTTCACAAATTGCACACAAAGCTGTGTCCTTAGCTCAGGATTGTCTGCTGATTTTCTTGTTTGCTATCCTCTATGCTCAAGTCTTGGAGGTGTTGCACCTGGACCCAAGAACATTGGCAATTCAGCTTCTAATAGCATTTAAAAGTGGTTATTCTGATCATTGACTTCAATATATTTAATAAAACATGCCTTTTAGTACATTAATAGAATGTTACCCACTTTAAAACAAAGCCATACATGTTATGCATTCAACATAAGTTACTTCTTCCCTTTTTGAGGCAGTATATTGCTGTGTTTGAGAGAGAGAAAAGAGGAAAAGAGAAGAAAGAAAAGTGAAAGAGAAGAGATTCTGATCTATTACCTTAAGGGATTTGGCAGCAAGAGTAATTATGTATGTTATGCTGATTTAAACTGAACTTTTCATTGATGTTCGTATTAATGAAGTCTAAGAACAGTAGATAAAACATGTGAAGACAGTCCACTTAAAATAATAGACTAAAGAAAGAGAGCTATTAATAAATGGTAATTGTAAGTAGGAACACCTGGATACATTAATCAATTTAAACAAAAATTATTTTATTATAATATAAACAAAATATTTGTCAAATGTCGATATCCATTTAACTTCATCCTAGAAGTTGAGTCTTTACACAAAAATGATATCTTTGCAATTGTGCACCAGGAAAATCTTGGTAAAATATTTGTTCATGTAAAGATGAGGTTTATTTGATCAGGCACCTGTTCCCAACAGCTTCAGATCTTTGCTTGTGCTGGTATCATGTATATTTTCTCTCTAACAGTTGTCATTGATTCTTATGCCAACCTTTCTGCTATCGATTAGTAAAATCTGTATTTAACAAATGTGTAAATAAGGAATGAAATAAATAATAACCTTATAGAATATACTATAGTGTCTCTCACAGTGTTACCAAGTTGCATTATTATGATAATAACAAAGATTCTAGAAAGCTCTAGCAAACAGCCTGGGGTGATAGAGAATGAAAGAATATACAGTTCTATATATGTCAGCTCTGAAGTCATAGGAAATTTGGGTTACATAGATATGAGGACTCAAATAGACTCACTTCTTGTATTGGCTGAGATTTCTAAATAAAACTATTGGTTTGGATATTTGAAGGACATTAGTTAAAATTCAAGCAGTATAATATATAGGGCTTTGAGTAAAGAAAAAAGTCAATGTAGACTGACTCCCATTCTATAATATTTAACTTCATAAATACAATCAATTTTGGTATGGGGGGAAAAGTGGAGAGAAATAGATATCCCCTACACACCATCCCTACTAATCTACATTCTATCTTTAAAAAACTTCAATTGGGCTAATAAGTCTGTACTTTTGTGTCTATGATGAGTCCTTTACAGACTGTTAAGGCAAAACTATTACAGAACTGATGAACTAGACATTCTTCATTGACAGAACTTGAAGACAAACACCTCTGATGAACTGCACTCAAGTCAAGCAATTTATTCTTGTGGGCCTCTCAGATCGTCCGGAGTTGAAGATGCCTCTCTTCCTGGTATTCTTGTCCATCTACCTCTTCACAGTTGTAGGCAATCTAGGTTTGATCCTGGTTATTAGAACAGATGCAAGACTCCACACCCCTATGTACTTCTTCCTTAGCAACCTGGCTTTTGTTGATTTCTGTTATTCCTCGGTCATTACACCCAAGATGATGGGCAACTTCTTGTATAAACAAAATGTGATCTCCTTCAGTGCCTGTGCGGCTCAGTTAGGCTGTTTCCTGGCCTTCATGACAGCTGAATGTTTACTCCTAGCTTCCATGGCCTACGACAGATACGTGGCCATCTGTAACCCTCTCCTCTACATGGTTGCAATGTCCCCAGGAATCTGTATTCAGCTTGTAGCTGCCCCTTACAGCTACAGCATTCTAGTTGCAGTGTTTCATGCGGTCCTTACCTTCCGCCTGTGCTATTGCCACTCCAATGTCATCAATCACTTCTACTGTGATGACATGCCCCTACTCCGGCTCACCTGCTCAGACACTCGCTCCAAACAGCTGTGGATCTTTGCCTGTGCTGGTATCATGTTTATTTCCTCCCTCCTGATAGTCTTTATCTCCTACACTTACATTATTTCTGCTATCTTGCGGATGCGCTCAGCGGAGGGAAGACGCAAAGCCTTCTCTACATGTGGCTCCCACATGCTGGCTGTCACCATTTTCTATGGAACCCTGATCTTCATGTACTTACAACCAAGTTCTAACCATTCCCTTGACACAGACAAGATGGCCTCCGTCTTCTACACGGTGATCATTCCTGTATTGAATCCTTTAATCTACAGCCTTAGGAACAAGGAAGTAAAAGATGCTCTGAGGAAATTCATTGTGAGTACAAACCAGGTTTTTGTGTTTATGAAATTAAGAAAGTGACTCAAATAAAAATCAACTCTTCTGATTTCCCATTATTGCCACTAACGATGTCCCATGATGCCCACTTTTTAATATGTGGGGTATAGATACTGTTTATTGTCTTACGGAATCTTTGACAGATTTCTGCTTTAAAAATGATTTAAGACATAAATATGGCTTTAAATATTGAAGTGTCCTGCTCTTGTTGTTAATGGGAAGCTTATGAACAATAACTCTCATCCCATTACTCAAATAAAAACGTGTAATAAATTTTATGAGTATACAGACAAAGCATAGGCAAGAAGTATGAACATTTATTTCTGGAAATCTTGTACCTTTATGCTTTACCCAACACCAAACCCAAAAGATTAGAATGATCCACCAAGCTTTAAGTAACAGACTTTGCCTCCTACTTCTCTTCTCTTTCTCTACTATTACTTCAACAGCCCCCCAAATAGTAGTAATGTTCCCTGTGTAACATGGTTGTAGTATATGTTCTTCAGCTCAGAGCTCTACTCTGCAGTACTGGTTCTCTTACACTCACTCTTGTTTGGATTCAGTATAGAGACAAGAGCTATCCAGCCTGATAAGATGACTTTGTGGGTAGACAAGAGAGGAAAGCCCTAATTTCCAAACAGTGAATCATACTGTATCAGTTTGTTCTCACTCTGATAAACATACCTTAGTAAAACATCTTAACAGACAACTTACTAAAACATCAACTTCAGAAACCATTTGGGCAAATGGTTTCCATCCATAATGGCAGGAAAGGTCTGGCAAAGCAGAACAGCTCACATCATGACACCCAGCAAGCAAAGAATGTTTGTACTACTAGGCTATCTCATTTTCTACCTCTCATTCCATCCATTAGCTTCCAGCCTATGAAAAGGTGCCATCCACATTCAGGCTTATTCTTTATCACTTAGTTTTATGGAAGTAACCTTATAGACATCTTAAGAAGAATGCTTCAGTAACCTTATAGACATCTTAAGAAGAATGCTTCACTAATCTCTCAGGCATATATCAATTGTATCTAGTTGACAAGATGAATAAATTGACACCTTGTTAATTTTATACCAAATATGTCTTGTAATAACATAATCCTTAATCACCAAATGTATATATCATATTTCATCTTCAGATAAAGTCAAAAATAAAACCTATGTACCTATCAAAATGAACCAATTTCTTCCCCAAAGTTTCAGCTATACTAGTATTGCTCAAAAGTTCAAGATCAAAACTTCTTCTAAGGACTGACAGAAGGTCTAAAGTGATAGAGTGCATCTTTGTAAGCAAAAATAAAACCCTGAGTTCAAGCCCTAGTATAACCCAAGATACCGAAGTGTCATCTGAGACTCAAGGCAGACTCTGAGTTGCAAGCCTCCATGACAATCAAAGAAAGAATTACATATAATGAAACAGAGTAAAGTATCTCTTTCCAAAAGGAAAGAATAGGAGGACACAGAACAATCAGAAAAAAAAACATGATCAACCCCCTGCAGGACAAGCACTGAATCCTATAATCGAGTGTCCAGCATGTGGGCCTGGGGGACATACATGAGCTTGAACATCCCATCCACATAGCTTTGCAAGCAACTACCATATGCCTCTCTCTTGGTTGCCCTTGCTTGCTAAGTCATCGCAGCTGAAGTCACCAGACATTCCTAGTTTCTGGTCTCTCTGACACTCTGGGACCTCTATTGTGCCTCTGTTTTCAGCCTCACCATTTCATTAATTACCATCTCCAGGCCTGTCCTCTGTTCTAACTTTGTCACACGTTTCCCAGTCTATCATTACAGTAAAAAAAAATAGATGATTAGCAGGATCATGAAAAGTACCATCTGAAAATCCAGGTCATCAGTCAAACCCAAGAAAATAAAGTCAAGAATGATTGCCTTAGTCCAATCAGAAATTTCTGTAACAGACCCTTCCAGAACACACCTTCTTATTAACCATGATTCTGGAAAAACCAACCAACAACAGATTCAAGTGGATACTGGAAATAAGGATAAAGTATAGAAACTTGTCCCCTTTACTGGCGCTTAAAGGGTGATACAGAACAAGGAGGAATTCCAAGACAGAGCACTCTCTGGGGAGTTAAAGGCAAGTAGATGTCTTCATTGAAGGCTTTGTTCACTCTTTGATAGACTTTGATACAAGACAAAGAGTACAGAAAAAAATATAGAAGCCTTGTGCTGGTGTATCATGCCTGTAATTCTAGCTACACAAGAGGCTGAGATCTGAGGATCACAGTTCAAAGCCAGACCGGACAGGAAGGTCCATGAGACTGTTATCTCCAATTAACTACCAGAAAACCAGAAGTGGAGCTGTGGCACAAGTAGTAGAGTGCTTGCTTTGAGCTGAAGAGCTGAGGGACAGCGCCCAGGCTCAGAGTTCAAGCCCCACAATTGAAAAGAAAAATAAAATACAGTGACAAAAGGGAATAAACCAAAGAAAAAAGGAAAGAAAAAATACAATGAAAACCTCCTTTCACTAGACACTGTGTTAGAAATAAACTATACAACTTGGAGGGAGGAAGAGAATACAGGAGGGGAAAACTGGGAGAAAATGAGGAAAGAGGTGACACTGTCCAAAAGGAAATGTACCCATTACCTGACTTATGTAATTGTAAGTCCTCTGTGCATCACCTTCACAATAATTTGCAAAGGAAAAGAATCCCAAGATCATCTCTAGAGACCTTTTCTTTGGTCACTGCTATATTCAATAGCAGGAATATACCCTTGGGAATTCCAGTTTATATTCATATTCTAGGGTACTATTTCAACACATTAAAAAAAACTGGGAAATATTTTTTCAAATCCAAGAATCCATGAGATGAAATATTTTATATGTTTTATAATATGTAACTATTATATATTATAGGTATATATTATATGTATTTATCTATTGACTGTATATTTTTTCACTTTTCTCATCTTTTATTCATTCCTATTCTTGCATAGACTCCCTGATTAATTGCTACAACTATCTCCTCCAATTTTGCTGGCAATGTTACCGAAGATATATCAATATATATCATTTGATCCAGAAATACTCCTCTTGGACATACAAATGAGAGGATATAAATGAGAATATAACAGAAACACATGTACACTCATTTTTATGGAATCAGCATAGCTGCCTTGAAGTTGGTGACATGTTAAAAAGTGACAAAGTACATACACAATATTCAATGTGATTTCCATCAATCTTCTAATAACATTCTTCACAGAGGTAGAGAAATGAATCCTGAAGTTCATATGGTAACACAGAAGAACCCAAACAGATAAACCAATCCAGAGCAAAAAAGGCATAGTAAGCCATAGTAAAGGCTAAAGCCATAGTAAAGGCTAAAGCCATAGGAAAGGAAAGCCATAGTAAGGAAAACAGTATAATATTACTACAAAAAAGATGCTTAGGCATATGGAAAACAAGACCAAAAATAACCCCCTACAGTGACAACCAGCTGATTGTTCACAATTGCAAAAGCTATCCAGTAAAGATTGTCTTTTTGCCCAATGATGCTGCGAAAACAGGGAGAAGATTGAAACTTGATGCCTCTACCCTGCATTATACCAGTTCAAAAAGGATCACAGACTTACTGTTACAACTGAAACTTGAAAACTACTACAACCAAAGAAAGGTGAGACACTGGGACATAGAGGCATAGACAATAAATTCCTGAAGAGAGCTTCAATAACTCAGTGAATAAGAGCAGGGATTAATGCAACAGACTGCATCAAATTAAAATATTTCTACACAGCAAAAGAAATAGCCACTACACAAGAGCATTAGAGCCTACAAAAGGAACAAAATATGCCAGCTACTTCTCTGACCAGAGACCCAGAACCAGAATATACAACAGTATTTTAAGACATCCTAAACTTGTAAAAACAATAAAAACAAAATGTTTATAAACAAATGAACTTGGCTCACACACACATATATACACACACATATATATAATAAATTATAAAATAAAATTGCTGAATTTAATAAGTACAGTTGGGAATTAATAGCTCAACTACAAAGATTACCTAATGAATTGTTTTTTTAAAGTTAACAGCATTATGAAAAATCCAGGAAATAGGGTTGTGATTTTGTCAGAAGAACAAAACAACATAATTTTAAACACCTTTTTAAACTAAGTGAGAAACATGTTTTTGAGCCCTATCCAATTCACATTAAGCTACTACTACACTTGCACTATACTAGTAATCAAAATAAAAATTGGTTCATGGGTCAAAACATGAGGCTGTGTTGGCTAGCTGTATGACCTTTACACATGCAAAAATTCACAACTCTCATGAAATCTGTACTAACAATAAAAAGCATGTCACAACTAGGTAAATATTAAAACTCTTTGCTATTGATTTTAATCCTTCATTCCCATTAGGCTCGGTGTACAGTTGTATCATTCAAGTGGTTAAACTTGGCCTATTAAATAAATTGGGTCCCCAAAGATGAACCACCATGAGATAATTGCTTGTGTTTGTGAAACATTATTAGAGTTTTGGCTCTGAAATGACTTTAAATGATGAAATTCAAGGAAACAACAATAGATCATACAAAATACATTCAAACACTGGAGTGGTTAGAAGCATTGTCATCTGCATCGAATTGTGCTAAGACATGCTGGCTTCTTTTGCTTTTGTTGGTCATTCCTCAAAAGCAATGTGTAGGAGGAGAAACTTCAAGGTAATTGAATTTAGAGGTACAAAACCTGAAATTCCTCACACAAATATTTTAATAGTATATTTAGAGTTTACAAATTGCTGAGTCCAGTTAGGTAGGGATTTTAATATATTAAGGGTATTGCAAGTGGTGGAACTAGTCTATAAGAAAGGCTTATTTATCAAACATATAATCAGCCCTCTTAGGAAGTTTGAGTGAAAAACCAGAGCTAAGATTGATGCATGTTAGAAAGTGCATTCAAGGTGCCCCAGAGAGGGTGGTGTCAGATAAGTTATCATAATAAACACAGCATAACCCAGTGTCTGCTTTAGGAACTGAATAAATAAAATATGGAAGTTATTACAGGTAGTATTGTAACGCACAAGTTGAATTACTAGTAGTGTCACCATTTAATCAAAAACCATGAGCAAATGTAGATAAAATATGCTCTTTAATTTGTTGTTCTGGAAGGTAGTCCCATTAAAGAAGCATAAGCCTACCTCAGTTTATATAGGTAGGATAGGTAGGTTATTAATTGATGAACATATTATTTGGATATATTCAGTTTGAGTCTCTGGAATAGCTAATTGAAGTTACTGGGGGAGAAGTTAGGAATATGTGTCTGCAGTTCCGATCAGAAAGTTTGTCTAAAGACTAGACAATGGCATGATCAAATAAGAGATTATTGTCCCTGCACCATTAGATGTCATCTCCTAATAAGGATCTGTAAACTTGACAGGAGCTAGCTTAAAAAAGAATAAATAAGTAATAGGGTGTTTAAAATCATAAACAAAGGAAGCAGAGGCACAAAGTAAAAGTAAACAAAAATATTTGTTAAACACAGGTATTTGTTGTCTAAATAATGAAAACTTAATTTGAAATGAGAGATGCCAATGGACTTGTGCTACAGAAAACTGATAAAGGAATTTACAGTGGGCAAAGCGGAATTAGAATGTGAGGACAATACCACATATAAATGTAGAAATGTAATTGAGTTATAATTGCATACAATGAAATGAGCCTGCAGAAGTGGCTTTTTAAGGATAACTGAAGTAATATGAAGAGTAGAGTAACTGAGTAAAGCCAGAGGAAAACAATCAGGTCACAGGTATGAATTTTTGTGTATCTATAAGTTCCCACTGTATAACCCCTGTTTCCACTGTATTTGATGTCGGTGCCCTGTATCTTGTATATATACTTCTCTAATTTGGAAAAGGGAAGGGAAAAAACAAAATGCTTAAATAGGGATACAGGTTGGCCCATTGTAACAATGATATGTACAAGACATTATGTGGAAAAATGAACTTTACCATTTAAGCAGAGGGGGAAGAGGGAAGTGTAGTTGTGGAGGTGGGAGGGAAGGGATGGTAGGGAAAAAACAAAGGAGGAGGCAACAATGCTTGATAGGAAATGTAGTCATTGCCTTGCTTATATAACTGTAACCCCTCTGTACAGTATTTTTACAATAAAATGTATTAAAATAAATAAAAATAATAAATAAATAAATATTTGAAAATATATGTGATTTGAAACAAACATTTAATAAATTGGAAAAGATAAAAAGCTATGAAAGCAAAAAGAGTAGGAGAAAAAAATTAAAATTATGTATTCCAAATAAGACATAATTCTGGTTTCCACATCATAATAATTAAATGCACTGATAATGTGAATGTTAGTATTCTTCAACTGACAACAGAAAACGTGAAATAATCAGTCTCTCACTAAGGAGAGAAGTGCCAACATCTACTTAGATCAATTAATGGCTGTACTGTGGAGGTCTGTGATGGAATTCTCAGAGACAAAAATATTTCCACAAAAGCAGAATTGAAGCGATGACAGACTGATTTTGAGTTTCTTGCTTGTCAGAGACTTCCTTTGCTTAGGTACATTTCCTGTTGTTGAGATACATTTAGAAAGAGAAAAAACTCAAACCACAATGAATATAATAATGTGCAGGTATCAACGGTTATCCAGTTTATAAAAATATTCTGGAGTCAGTGATTAAGTGTATTATTCCTGCTACACAAAAATAATAGCACAAGCATGTATGGAATCACTATAAGAATTGGACTCAATGGGAACATTCCACCTGTCTGTTTGGAGCCTCAGTGTGGTCAGTCACCTCTGTGATGTTTCCTTATCTGCTCGAACATGTTTGGACACATCCAAGAAGTAAAATTTTCATTTTGTTTAATTGGGTGTAATATTTAAAATATATCAATATTTGAAAAAAATCCTTTTTATAGCACAAGTAGTTCTCAATCTTTTCACTTTACTCGAGATATATATGACTTAGATTAATGAGCTTTTCAAAAGTTTAAAATATAATCTGTTTGTGTTCACAACTCCTTGTAGCTCTGCAGGAATTGAGATTTCTGCCTTGAACAAAGCCTTTCATACTGAAAGTTGGCTCAGCATGAAAACATTCCTTTGAATGTACTCAACATAGAATCTGTGATTTATAATCATCTGATGACCTACAATCATTTATTCCAGTAAGAAGAATATTACACAGAACTTGTGAGCTGATCAGACCTGTTCCATGGCCCATGACAATTCCTCAACAGTGAGTTCATTCTCTTGGGGCTCACAGCTAATCCAGTGCTTCAAGTCATTCTCTTTGGTGTATTCCTGCTCATCTACTTAGGCAGTGCTTTGGGTAATCTTGGATTAATTGTGTTAACCCAAACCAGTCCTCAGCTTCAGACACCCATGTACTTTTTCCTCACACATCTGGCTTTCGTTGACTTCTGTTTCACCTCGTCTATCACCCCAAACACTCTTGTGAATTTTCTACGTGAAGTGAGAAGTATAACGTTCCATGCCTGTGCCGTTCAGGTATGCTGCTTCATTACCTTCGCAGTTTGTGAATTGTTCTTGCTGTCCATCATGGCGTATGATCGGTATGTTGCCATCTGCAGTCCTCTACTTTATGTTGTTCTCATGCCAAGGAGTCTCTGTATTAAAATGATTGTTAGCACATATACTTATGGGTTTGCTGTGGGTCTTGCACAAAGTCTGGCAACGTTTCAGATGTCATTTTGTGACTCCAATAGGGTCAACCACTTCTATTGTGACGACGTTCCCCTAGTTGCTCTGGCCTGTTCTGATACAAGTATCAAAGAGCTGATGTTGCTGATCATTGCTGGGTTCAATACCCTTTGCTCTCTATTGATTGTGATCATTTCCTATGTCTTCATCCTGTTTGCCATCTTGAGGATGAAATCTGCTGAAGGGAGAAGGAAAGCGTTTTCTACCTGTGCATCCCACCTGACTTCCATCACAATATTTTATGGGACAATCATTTTTATGTACCTACAGCCTAAGTCCAGTCATTCTTTGGACACCGATAAAGTTGCTTCTGTATTCTATGTAATAGTGATCCCATTGCTAAACCCACTGATTTACAGCTTGAGAAACCAAGAAGTAAAAAATTCCCTGAAGAGATTGAAAGAAAAGTTACGTTTGGCTAGCAAATAACCTAAGGATTATCAGAGCATGATGAGTTGATTTTGAGCTGGTTTATACCTACACTCACTATGTTGATCAACGGCAGAGTGATGACCTTTGCCTGGAGAGCTCAGCCTCACTGGGGGCATAGTAAATGTCCACTCTCTCATCTCAGTCATTTTCACCTAACAACCATGGTATAAATTTGAATCTCTGACGTTTTAATGGCAGAATGATTTGGAAATATCAGAGAGGGATGGAAGAGTGTGAAGCAAAGAGATAAGATGACAGTACCAGGGAAAATTATACCATTTCCATCATTTCCATCGTATCTTTAATAATTGTCAAACTCAGTGTTTAGAAATAGAAGCTTTGATTGATTTTTGTGAAACATGGATATATTTAGGTTTAGCTGTAAGAGCTCAACTTCTTGCTTTTTATATTTTACCATTATACAATAGACTATCTGGGAAAGTAATAAAGTTTATCAACGAGTTTTATAGACTGGAGTTTTACCACAGGTTTCTGGTCTGCATACATGTTGGAGTGTGTCACAAACCAGATTTTCTTGAGTTTTAAATATTACTCACTGATCCATACTGGACCACATCTCTGCAGCCCCTTTTTAGCATTGTCTTTCAATCTTGTTCTTCCAGAGTCTTAACAGGATTTCAATTCTAAGATACTTTAGATAACCATTTTACCTTTTCAGTTAATTCTGTCATCTTGGCAAATGGCTTTATTTTTCTCCACCTACTTTCACTTCCATAGTATTTCCAGAAAAGCAAAATGTGCCGCTTGTATGTAGTATACATGTCACAATAATGTGTACTATTCTTAATCAACACTGATATTGTTTCAGACATTCCATTTATTTGGTTCAGGTTTTTATGTAACAGACTTTCCAGTGAAATAATCTTCCTTCCTTTAAAATCAGTACCATCCTTGACAATGAATGTACTCATTAGGTTTACTCATATAATTTTAACCCCTCTGTACAGCATCTTTACAATAAAATAAAATAAAACAAAACAGTACTGTAGGAAGTAGAACTGTGGCTCAAAGTGCTAGAGTGTTAGCCTTGAGCAAAAGAGAACAGGAACAACACTGAGGCTCTGAGTTCAAGCCCATGACCAACAAAAACAACAATCAGTAAATTAGTAAAGTCTCAACAAGCAATCATTTACTGACTGCTTTTGTTTTGTCAAATAATAGTTTCCATTTTAAATGTATTGTCTCAGTTATTTTCAAACATATGAGATAGGTATTCCAGAATGAATATGATCATGATAGTTTATCCAATCTACCAATACACAAATAACTATTTTTCAACAAGACACATATAGTTATGAATTAGAAGCATGGGTATTTGAATTCAGTTTTGAAAAACTGTACAGATTATTGTTACCTGACTGTTTCATAATTCTAACCATATCTACATCAGGGTTTTTGCATCATGATTCTCAAAAAAAATATCTTTCCTGAATTACAGTTAAGTAAAAATCCTTCAGACTTCTGAAAACATAAGAAAGACATATGTGTCTGGTCCATGAACACATGTTTCATATCTGGCCATGTTAGTCTTCTACTTCGAAAATTGAAATAAAGGAAAAGTCATCACCGAGAGGGCAGAAAACTTTTCACATCTTTTTCTATTTTGTCTTCGATATGGTTTTGCAATTGATGAATCCCTCATACCTTTCTAATCCAGAGTCTTGGATGTTCCTTAAAAAGCTATCTCTATTTCCACCTTGCCATCATTGGGGCTTCTTTGCTGTTATGTAAATTCTTAGTTTGGAGCATAATACTAGAACCTGTAGCAGTCTGAGAGCCAGTCTTCTCCCCTATAGAGTAAGATTTGTTAGTAGAAATAAAGGTTGGAATAATCACTCTGTGAATCAGGTACATAGTTAAGGGCTAACAACCTATCATTGGTTTAAATAATTATAGATCAAATTATTTCAAGAGAAATATTGCTGGAATATATGTATTCCTATGCAACTCTAATTGGTAGTGATTCTTCTTGGATAATATGGTAATTAATTAAATTGGCATAAAAATACTAAGGAAAGCATTGGGTTCCTTTAAACTAATATTTCAAAAATGAAATTGAGTGGTGTATGCAAGCATACAGAATTAGTATTTAAGTATGACTCTCATAAATTGTTGTATGAAACAAAAAGTTACAGAAAAATTCCTTGGAAAACAGTGTGCTTCAAATCACGTACTGATATTCTTTTACCTATAAAAAGTGTTGGGTTTTCATTGATAAAACAAAACTTGTGACTTAATGAGTAAGGCCAGTTGATAGCTGAACAACAATAATCACCTAACTAATTGTTTTAAAAATCAAACTGACATTAAGAAAAATCATGAAGTGAGGTTTGCAATTTTGACAGAAAGGATAATTTTAAAAACTTTCTAACATTTTCAGAGGACTATCATGAAAAATCCAAAACTGTAATAAAATCTGTAATAACATATAAGAACAAATCTCAAGTAGGTGAATGTTGTCTGAATTTTTCCCATATGTTAAAACACTCTTTGCTTTTATTTCTTAATGCTTCATTGCTTTTAAGCTAAATTTAGAATTGTAGAACTCAAGTAGTTAAATTTTGCCTATTAACTAAATTGGGTCCCAAAAGATAAGCCATGACTTAATTGCTTGTGTTTGTGAAACCTCATTATAATTTTCATCCAAAAGTGATTTTAAATGATGACATTCAAGAAAAATATCCTAGCAGCAACAATAGATCATGTGAAATATATTTAAATACAGAAATGCTCAACAGTAGTGTCATCATTCATAGTTTTCCATAAGGTATATTGGACTCCTATTGGTTTTGTTGATAAATACTTGAAGACAATGTGTAAGAAGAGAACCATCAAAGTAACTGAAGCCATTGAAAAATGACTTAAAAGGAAAAAATCTGTACATTTATTTATTCCAAGTATTTTCATCGCTTACTTGAAGAGTTTACTAATGCCTGAATCCTGCCAGGTAGAGACATTTTGTATATGAAAAATATGTCAATATCCTTCCTATTGTGATAAAAACAAGTCTACCAGAAGGCTTATTTATCACAAATGTAATCCGCCTTGTTAGGAATTTGGGACTTTCTCCAAATTTGTGGCAAAGAGAGCTATAGAGGTGCTTGTCAGAGAGTGGATGCAGGTGTTGTAGCACAGAGAGGGTGGTGAGCAGATGACTACCTTAAGCAATCACCCAGCGTTTAATGGCAGGATAGAGGGATATATGAGTTATGTTCATTACTTTGTCATGGATTTGACTGGATGGAAGATGCTTCCATAATGTTGATTATATATTGTTGAATTCCCTATAGATAGGGCAAATTAAGGTATCTTTGAAAGAAATTGTTGAGATCCCCTCAGCTAGATACCCAAATACAACTACTATATGTCTTTGTATCCCTTTGTTTGCTTTCATATATTTGTAGATGAGTGATAGGAGATTACTTTAAAATATGAAAGTATCTTTAAGATGTTCACACTAATAAAAACAAACTTTCTATATTATATTTTTTAATTTGTCTCAAAATGCTACTTGGCTGTTGAAGGAAAGAGTTATAAAGGGAAAGTATGAAAAAATAAAATCATTATAGCCATAATGTACAAGATATTACATAAAACTTTTTCTGAAGTCAATTTTAACTTCATTTTAACTGCTGATTGGAAAGTGTATGAATATAAACGTCTATGAAATTTTTGTGGGTCTTACACCAACAGGTGGAATACTCCAGGCGTACTTTCCTGGCTCTACGGTGGTCAGTCACGTCTGTGATGTTTCCTCATCTGCTCAAACCCATTTTGACACATCCAAGTAAAAACAGTGTCTTCTTGATTCAGCTTAGTGTAATTTTCTTTAAAGTACACCAATACGTGAGCAATAACATTTTTGGTATCAATGAACAAATAATTCTCCATCATTTCTGTTTGAGTCCCAATTGGTATTACTTAGATTAATGAGTGATGTGAAAGTTTAAAACATAAGTTTTCTGTCTTCACACATACCTGCAGGATTGCACGATCTGGGATTTCTACCTCTGAAAAAGCATTGCAGTCTGAGATGCGGATCGGCATAAAGATATCCCCTTGAATGTTATCAACACAAGATCAGTGATTCATAATCACCTCATGACCTACACTTGGTTATTCCAGTAGGAACAATATCACAAGGATTATGTGAGCTGAGAGGACTTTAGTGTAGAAGGCTTCTCTACCTGTTCGATGGCCCATGGCAATTATTCAGTGGTGTCTGAGTTCATCCTCTTGGGTCTCACAGACCACCTGGAGCTTCAACTCATTCTCTTTGGTGTATTCCTGTTCATCTACTTAGGCAGTGCATTGGGTAATCTTGGATTGATGGTGTTAATCCATATCAGTCCTCAGCTTCACACACCCATGTATTTTTTCCTCACACATCTGGCTTTCATTGATTTCTGCTTCACCTCCTCTATCACCCCAAACACTCTTGTGAATTTTCTGCGTGAAGTGAAAAGTATAACATTCTATGCCTGTGCCATGCAGGTATGCTGCTTCATTACCTTTTTGGTTTCTGAGCTGTTTTTGCTCTCCATCATGGCCTACGATTGATATGGCGCCATCTGCAATCCTCTACTTTATGTAGTTCTCATGCCAAGGGGTCTCTGTATGCAAGTCATAGCTAGCACATACATGTATGGATTTGCTGTGGGTCTTGCACAAACCCTGGCAACATTTCAGTTATCCTTTTGTGACTCCAATAGGCTCAACCACTTCTACTGTGACGATGTTCCCTTAGTTGAGTTGGCCTGTTCTGACACAAGTATCGAAGAACTGATGTTGCTGATCATTGCTGGGTTCAATATACTTTGCTCTCTATTGATTGTGATCATTTCCTATGTCTTCATCCTGTTTGCCATCTTGAGGATGAAATCTGCTGAAGGGAGAAGGAAAGCGTTTTCTACCTGTGCATCCCACCTGACTTCCATCACAATATTTTATGGGACAATCATTTTTATGTACCTACA